TGCTGAATCATTGTTCCAATCTCTGGGCCCAATTAGTCTGGCTCTGGACAGCCACTCAAATCAATAAGAGTCACTGGCCATGCATCTAGAAGTAGAGTTGCCCCAGCTACTAAAGGGACAATATCAGGTGATAATGACAAAGCCGAAAAATACCCTTGGCTGTGCCTCTCTCTTTTGTGCAAAGTCACCCACATCATCCGGTTCATCAAACACCACTTACTGAGAGCCGGCCTTCACTTCTCTGTCACCATTCAACAGTCTACCCCAGAGGCTGTCCCCTTCTCCCAAGAGGAGTGGCAGGTTCACAAGAGACACAAAACACAAGGGTGGCACATACTATTGAGTGCCAACAAAAGCCATGCCCCCCACCGTCCTGACTAACAGAACCTCAAATATGTGCATCTCTCATGTCCTTCAAGGAAGGCAGTCCTTTTCCTGACAAGGTGAGTCATGATTGGTCAGTAAGCAGTGGTCTTTCTCTCACCAAGACTGATTGAGGCTGGGGCACATGGCCGACTTCTGTCCAGTGAGAAATGAAGGGGATTCTACTGACAGGCTATTTGATAAGGAATATGAGAAAAGAAACAGGACCTCTTTGGCATCCAGATGTCATCCACTTGTAATAGCAGAAACTACTGCTGCTGTTTGGGGACCATGAGGGGCATTACCTTAGAAGGACAAGCCAGAATGGAAGCGTGGAAGACCAAAGGAACCTAGGTCCTTAACCCCTTCCCCGGCAGAAACGTGTATACTCGTTTTCACAAAATGTTCTTTTTCAGTCGCCAACGAGTATACTAAGAAAATATGGTAAAAAAATATGGTTTATAGGAAGACGAGTTACAAACTGTTTTCATAACCAGCATCAAAAATACTATATAGAACCAAAATAAAAAAATTAGTCTGAAAAAGAAACGTTTTTAACAAAAAAATTGTTGGGGAAGGGGTTAAAAATCACAAAGCCCTAATCAGTTTGGCTCAGTGACTAGAGCATCGGCCTGTGGACCAAAGGGTCCCAGGTTCCATTCCGGTCAAGGACATGTACCTCGGTTGCAGGCTCCTCCTCATTATGGGTCCTGGTCAGGGTGCATACAGGAGGCAACCGATCAATATGTTTCTCTCACATCAGTATTTCTCTCTGTGTTTCCCTCTCTCTTCCACTCTCTCTAAAAAACAATGGAAAAATATCCTCAGGTGAGGATTAAAAAACACACACAAAGTGCTAGATTAGTCAACACTGGAAAAGTTGACATGACCACCAGAAGTCTTGAAATGTGAGATAATATAGGTTACTATTATTTACCCCACTTTTAGTCGAATTTTCTGATACCTTGGCCAACAACATCCTAATGATACAACCAGTAGTCCCCACTCCTCACTCTCAAAAGCCTAACTCCTGTAGACCTTACAGCAGATTTGCATTTGGACTGATAAACTCACTGGAGGCCCAGTGCACAACATTTGTGCATGGAGGATGCAGGGGTGTCCCTCAGCCCAGACTGCGCCCTCTCACAGTCTGGGACCCCTCGGTGGATGTCTGCAAGCCGACAATCAGAAATCCCTCTCTCAGTCTGAGGCTCTCACAGTCCAGGACCCCTTGCTCCTTACCGTCCACCTGCATCGGAGGCGGGAGAGGTTCCTGCCACCACCACTGTACTCGCCAGCCATGAGCCCAGCTTCCAGCTGAGCTGCGCTCCCCCTGTGGGAGCACACTGACCACCAGGAGGCAGATCCTGCATTGCACGTCTACCCCCTGGTGGTCAGCGCATGTCATAGCGACCGGTCATTATGCCGTTCAGTCAATTTGCATATTAGCCTTTTATTATATAGGATTTCTTAAACTGCAAATATCCAGAGGTTAACCCTATTAGTCACTCTCTCCTTAGTATGAATTACTTTGACTAATATTGTTCCTTTCAAGGCCATGCTGTGATCCATCACTGGGTCAGAGAAGAGAGATAAACAATAGTGGGCAGTGGGAGGGAAGGAAAGGGCTCACAACACCTGGACCTGCCGTGAGAGGAAGCACCAGAAGGCTGTGCAGAACAGTGTGGCTAAGGTGGCCCTAATACCCCTTAGAAATCATTCTTCTCCTACCAAGCATCCCTGAGCACCACTCTGGGCTTGTCGTTCCTAAAGCCAAGGACCCATTTTAGGTCTAGACTCAGAAAAAATACACGAATTTCAAATATAAAATAAAATGAGCTTTCCAGTCAGGCTCTTCTTAGCTTTACAGCAGAGAAGGGTGACCCAGGTAGAGTATTTCCACCACAGATATGTCCAGTGAGAAGGCAGTGTCACCTGGTACTGTTGGTAATGCTGATGGCCCTCGGAGGAGGTGACCTCAGGCCTCAGTTCCAGCCTCTTTCTGAAGGCTGTGAGTACTGGACTCTGATCTGCCAGTGATCCCAGCCCCAGCATGGCCTCAGCCGTGTGAAGGAGCCACTTTGTATTCTGCCCATGGCCATTAGGCTGCTCTTCCCGAGAAAAGCATCTGATGCTTGTCTCCAGAAGATGCCAAATCTTCATCACTGCTCTTACTGCGGCTGACCCTACGGCCATCATTACTTAGGGAGCCCGTGAGGCTCTGAGCAGAGAAAACAGTGTCAGCTGTCCTCCTGACAACACGGCTGGCCAGAGGCTGGTACCCACCTGACACAGGAGCAACTGCTGGGTCTCAGGATGGCTGCGGATCCTCCAAGACTCCCAGTCCCTCCCAGCAATGGCCATTCCATAGCCACTGACAGGTGTTCCAGGAAACCTAGGTTTCCAGGGTGATTCCCAGGGCCACTTGGCAATCCTGTTCTCTTCCAATGTACACAGCAACTATTTCAAACCTTCGCCCCTACTGGAGCCTCCAAAGCCACCTCCTACCCCCTCTTTCTAAGCAGATGGTCTTGCCTCCTACCTCAGAGAAAAAATAGAGGCTATCAGGCTGGTACAACTCAGCTGCCCACCTTTCCCCCATCTTCCCCTTTGCCCCACACATCTGTCTTTACCCAGCCCGACCACTTTTCTCCAGCCTCCAAACAAAGGCTGCTGGTTTCACCTGCACCCTTGCAGCCTGTCTCCCGAGTCTCCTCCTGGACCAGACCTATGAGTGACCTGCTCTCCTGAACCTTCAATTCCTCTCTCTGCTGCTGCCAGCCCCACGGCTGCCTGGCCGACCTCTAATCCTGGCTCTGCACTGACCTCCACTCTCACTTCCCCAACACCGATGGTGCAACGTGAGAAGAGTAATCTACGTTAACTTACCCCATTCCCTGGGCCTCAATCCTCCTTCACCCACTCACCCCACTCTCCTTGCTCTTCCCAAGCACTCCAAAACACCAAATCTACTATGCCCTTCTTAGAGCACCACTCATTCATCTCCCCTTTGATGACAGTGGGTAATTCTGGCAGGCAGTATTTTCCAAAATGGCTGCAACGCTATCTCCCACTCTAATGCTCTAGCTCAGTGGTTCTCAACCTTCTGGCTCTTTAAATACAGTTCCTCATGTTGTGACCCAACCATAAAATTATTTTCGTTGCTACTTCATAACTGTAATGTTGCTACTGTTATGAATCGTAATGTAAATATCTGAGATGCAGGATGGTCTTAGGCGACCCCTGTGAAAGGGTCGTTCGACCGCCAAAGGGGTCGCGACCCACAGGTTGAAAACTGCTGCTCTAGAGCCACGCCAAGCCCCATCCAGAAGTAAGTCTATTTCCCACCCCTTTCACAAAGGGGGCTTCCATGACTCCTGCTGTTACCAAGAGAGTGAGGAGGAAGCAGCCTGCATGACAGCCAACGTGAGGTCATAAAACTAGGATTGACTTTCAGCCTTATTCTCTCAGGTAGCACTTCACTCACTCCGAGAACCCGGCGGCCATGCTGTGGGGAAGCCCAAGCCACTGTGGAGAGATGACCTGGAGAGGACCTGTGGCCATGGCCCATAGCCCTGACTGAGCTCCCCGCTGACAACCAGCACCCATTTGCCAACCACATGAGTGGGCCACCTTGAAGTGGGTCCTCCAGTTCCCGTCAAGCCACCCCGTTGGCACCACATGCTCTCCTGTCATTTTTATATCCCTTGGCTGGCCACATGCTTTCTTTCATTATAATTTAACAAATTAAGATGTAATGTTTCCACCCCCAAGGAAATCACCTCTAGTTCATCTCATTTCTATGCCATCCCCCTGAAGTCCCATTGGCCCCAGTGGCTGTTCGGTGTTCTGAGACCACCCACATGCCATTCCCAGGAACAAATCAGAATGAACTGACCAACCCAGCACTGGGTCACATGGTCACAGCACTGTCATTCTACCTCCTCTCTGCCACTGCTGCTCAAAGGGCCATTCCCACTCACCAGCCTGGAGCCAGTTTCCCTGGTACTGCCTGGATTGCAAAATGAGGAAGAAGGCAGGTGAAAAGGAAGGTTCTCACCTCCATCAGGAGAATGTCCTTCGAGCTCTGCACCTGTACCTTAGGGTGCTGGACCTTCACAGCCACCGTCCGCCCGTCATGAAGCACTGCCTTATGGACCTGGGCCAGGGAGGCAGCCCCCATAGGGGTGTCATCAAAGCTCACAAACAAATCATGGATCTGTCAAGAGTAGAGAGAGGATGGAACCATTAAGATGACCGAATTCAGTGAGAGGGGCCAGAGGACAGGCCAGCGCTGTGCTGCCTGATGCCCCACCGCAGTCAATTTTCTGCTCTGTCAGTTGTATGCCAGCCCAGCTCCTGCTGCAACAGAGATTCACACCAGGCCTATGGAGGAAGTGAGACAGAAAACACTTTGGAGAATACGTTCTCACACGTATGCAAAGGTTCCCTGAGCACTTCCATTTAAGGCCAAAGAAGTGCTATCTAAAACAGCGGTTGCAACCGATGGTCCATGGACTACTGGTGGTCCATGAGGTCCGGAAGTTTGGCAACTGCTGATCTAGAATGTTCAGAAATGTGCATAATCCGCCCATTTAATTACCTACCATGGTGCCTCCAAGGCTCTCACATATGGATATAATCAAAAGTTAACAGAACCTGGGCCCAGGGCAGCCCAAGACAGGGAGGAGTCAGATGGAAGATTTCCCACCACGCCAACCTGGAGAGTTCCAGGAACCCTGGCTGGAGACTGCACACTCCACAACCACCTCATATTCCTACTGAGCAGCAGCCTCAACATGGGTCCCCAAGCCCATTCTCAGCCCAGACACCTGGCAGAGATCCCAGGATTGCAGACCCAAGCCTTGCACTTGGTCCTCACCTGCAGTGCCACCCAAAGGTAGCCTTGGGCGGATCCCCTGCCCTTTCTGTGCCTCACTTTCTCTATGAAATGGAATATATACCCTTATTCTTCCATCTTCTCTTCCCATCTGCCTTCCCTCTTTTCTGATTAGAAATGCCATACCACCCAGCCGGCATGACTCAGTGGTTGAGCATCAACTCATGAACTTGGAGGTCACGGTTCTATTCCCAGTCAGGGCTCATGCCTGGGTTATGGGCTTGATCCCTACTAAGGGGCTTACAGGAGGCAGCCAATCAATGATTCTCTCTCACCGATGTTTCTATCTCTCTCTTCCTCTCCCTTCCTCTCCCTGAAATCAATAAACACATTTTTTTAAAAAGAAAAGAAAAAGAAATGCCATACCAATTTTCCTGAAGGAGAAAGTCTTTGTGACTTGAGTGGTCACACCTACATGATCCAGATATAAATATCCTACCATATGGTAAGGAGGTCCCCAAAAACCTTTTGCAAGATCGGCCAAGGCTGAAATACTCATCCCCTCTGTTTCTTGAAGTCCCTAGGTAACCTCACAATGCTGGAAAGTCAAGACATTCACACACACAGCTACCCAAATGTGTATGTGGATAGTCACACGTCTCCCCTCCTTCTCACACATCCAGGTTGGCAGGCTGTGCCCCCACCTCCCTCTGTCCCCTTCTGCAGCAAACACCCAGCCCCTCAGCACCTCTCCCCTCCTTGGACTTCAGAAGTTAGATGACCCACAACCACCATCCCATCCCGTTTGCTAGGCTGCACCATCACTTTGCTAATCTTGACTCATAAATCACTCCCTCCAGCCCTGTCATCATCTTTTAGCTTTCACTAAACTCCATCCCATTTATCAACATCCTAAGGAGGCCAAAGGTCCAGGCAACTTGGGAGGGGCCTACACTTCACTGTCACGAGATGGTATGGATTAGCTTCCCTGCCCCCTCCTTCCTCATTGGGTTTTGATCTGTACCCCTCCCAGTGCCCACTTCCCTCTTCTGCCCCAACCATGCACCCATCTTTTTCCCTTCTTTGTGAGTTCTAGGCTCCCTGCGGGCCATATTCTTCCCACATCATCCACCCCCAGAATCACCTTGAATCTCTCTGCACACGACCCTTTATCCTGGACCTTGGATTAAGGCAATGCAAGGACCACCATCCATATATACCTCATTAGAATGTCAGCTCCCAGTGGGCAGAGACTTTTGTCTATTTTGTTCAATGTTGCATTCCCTGCACCTAAAATGGGGCTAGAACTAATCAGTGACAAAGATTTGTTGAAGGACTGAATCCACTATTCTCTCCATTGGAGAAGAATTGGATGAACTCTTTCCTCCCTTTGAAATGGCTGGATCTTCCAGATCCCACACTCCTACTAATCCGAAGGCCTCAAATGGCACATGTCAAGTGTAAGGTTTACCTAGGTGGACTCCACCTGTTACTCCAAGGTGAACCTGGCCAACCAGAACCCTGAATACTCTGGACCACGATGATTGGTTCTGAGATAGACACATGACCCAACTGGTCCAATCAGACTCAACCATTTTACTTTTGTTTGAACTGTAGGAGAAGGCATTCTTTCTTTCTGCTAAAATTAAACTTGAAGCCTAGAGATGCCTGGGGTCATATAGTAGCAACAAAGAGGAAAGCAAAGCCAAGAGACAGAAAGAGTAAATCCTAATCACAATGGTTGAGCCACTTGATCTAGCCATGCCTGAATGTCCACCCTATAATACCTTTTTTTTTTTTTTTTTTGGCTTAATTCAGTTTGAGTTGTTTTCTGTCACACACAGCAGAATGGGCTCTGACTGATACAGTGTGTTCTCAGCCTCAGCTGGGATGAACTGAAGAAACACAGGCATGGTGCCAAGCATCCCCAAGAGGCTCAGTAAGTGTGAGTTCCCTCCTCTCTCCATTCTCTTGCTGGGACAGGGATCCAGGAATAGAAGAAGAGAACCTCAGCAACGTTCCCAGCCAATACATAATGAGATCACCATTAGTTCCTTTGGGAACCCTCTGGAGTTCCTGAAGGAGCACCAAGAACATTTTCAGGAGCAGAGCTGTGAACGAAGACCCTCACCTCCCAGGCAGATGGAACAGCCCAATCTCCCCACTGCAAAGAGACTTGGGAGTGACCTGACCTCACTCCCTGGGAACACTGGCTCATTCGCTGAGACGGACAACCAGTCTTCAAATCAGTGTCATTGCAGGGACATTGCAGAGTCATTGCATCGCTAGGGCTGTGTGCAAAAACAGCTGCCAAGAGCACTCCAAGGGGAGGTGGAGAAAGGAAAGCTCTGAAGCAAGCATCCCAATCTCCAGGGTAAGAGGAAAGGAAGCCTGGTCCACCCTATCCAGAAGGGATGGGAAGGGGCCCTCCCATAATTCCCTGCTCCCACCAGGGGATGGAAGGGGTCAAGAGATACCACCCAAACCCAACTGTCAACTCAGCACCCTGAACAAGGCCCAGCTCTGAGGACTTGTCCAAATTCCCAACCTGACCAGTGGAAGCAAAGACAGGCATAGGAAGTGAGGGTGCACCACTCACTTGGCACAGGGAGACTGTCAAGCAGGTACCCCACACCCCACCCCAGCCTGCCCACCACCTCCCAGTGCCCCTGCAGCCATCTATTCCCTCTATCAGAGAACAAGCCACACATGCATACCCTTCTCCAGGGTAAGAGGAAAACACACACACACACACATACACACACATACACACACACACACACAATAACTGATTGCTAGTGGATGTTCCTAGCTGGCTTATAATAAAGGTAATTAAAGATTGGTGCTACAGCCTATAATTAAATATGAATAAAGTATCTCTAAATGGAACCTTGATTCAAAGTGTTCAGTGGAAGTACTTTAAGCTGATAGATAGGAAGGAAAACCAGACCCTGTCCTGAAAGCAGAATTACACCCCCCATGCAGCTGAAACAAATGCAACCCCCCTCCAATCAGGCCTGGTCCCCAGCCCTTTCAGCAGAAAACCATTAGCAGAAACAAACTGCGGCATGGGCAGCAATTAGATTCAAGATGGGCCTTGGCTGCCTCCAGTCAGTGCAGAAACCGCTCTCCCCTTCGAAGGCTTTCTCGCCCCGCCTCAACTCCCCCCGCCCCAGGCCCCCCCTCAACTCCCCCCGCCCCAGCACCACCTGCCACACACACACACACACCACCTTTTCTTTTCCTCTGGGTCTGGCGGCAAAATCAATTAAGTAAAACAACTGCATTTAAAATGACTAGTTATGTGCTTTTTAATTACTGTCGGCCCATGATTCAAATATATCGATGTCCTTGTCTAAAAATGGAAAAAAAGTTTCTCTAGCTTTGTATGGTCTGTTTTTTTAGGGGTGTGTGGGGAGACTTAGGGTGGGTTTTTTTAAAAGCAGAAAACATGAGAGGGGCAGGAAACAATGTGTCATCCCCTGGGGCCTAAGGCTGGGGCTCAAGTGCAGACTTCAGCGGGCTCTTCAGCTGGGGTCCAGGAATCGGAGACCACGTGACATGCTGCCCCAGTGCAGGGCAGAGAGAGACTCCAGAAAAGCCAGCGTGCAGATTCCCACGAAGCCAGGTGACCAGGCAATGTTCACACTGAGCAGCCAAACACTGGCCAGGGGCTACACTCTGCCCAACATAAGGTGACAGGAAGTCAGAATCTTCTGGAGAAGCTACAGTGTGACTCCTGGGAGTTCCACGTGAGCCCAGCCAGCCTCGCTCGGGTCCCTGTGGGGACTGACTCACCAGTTACAAAATGGGAGATGTCCTGGATTTTTCCAAGATGGCCCAATTTCACCTATTCCATCCTGTTGTCCTCATACTCATTCACATCACACCTACTCTGGGTTCAGAAACCACATCACTGTAAGGTAATGCTAGCATGTCTAACAAACCCTGAGCTGGCTGGCTGCAGATGAAGACAGGGGCCTACTCAAAACACGCCGGTCCAGGCCTAGATGCCAAGGCCAGGCGGCTCCCACTTAGTAGCTGGGGAGACTGCCCAGAGCACCTGAAGTAGGTTACCATGGCATCAGCAGTAAAGAACATCTGGCTCTCCAGGTCCTGAAATGGCTCACCTCACACATGGCTGCCGCCACCTACCACAGACTGATGAGGCTTCAGTCCCTGAGCTAAAAGAGTGGCTGGAGTGAACCTTCCCCACCCAATGCCCCTCCCCCAACTGAGGCAGACAAATAGCTCCAGCCAGCTAGGATTCTGTAAAGCACTGCCATCTGCCTTAGGTGGAAAACCACCTCTGACCTGCCTCTGCTTGAAACACATCACCTCCTTTCAGCATCTTTTCCCAGGGACCTGCCCTAGGCACC